GCCTTTAAGTAACTCGCATAGACGTGTAAATGCCTCTGGGCTCATCCGCACTAACGTTCGACAAGAGCTTTCATTCTCATAAATCTGATTTCGGATCATACACCATCCTCTACCCTTTTCTTGATTCATTGGCTCTTTGCAGAAAAATTTACTGTAATAGTTCAAGGCAGGAGAGATGTAAGACTGAAATATCTCATCTTCTTCTAGTAATATCAACTCCGCAAGCTCTTCATCGGATAGATTTTCGATCCCACGTGATAGTAATTCTGCAATGCGAAAATCCTGTAAAAAGAAACATTGTTAGAACTAAATATGCCTATAAACAATAAAAATCATCGTAGATATATTTATTGAATATAAGAACTAAATAATTTAAAGTAAAAATCATGTTATAACTAAATAAAAATTTAAAATAGTATAAAACTAAATAAGTTAATTAGAAATTAAATATTTTATTGATATTGAGTAGAAAAAAAAACAAATGTTTTATTGGTTTTATTAGAGATAGTAAAATAATTAAACTAAACTAGATCCATAACCAGAACTTGAGCCTAGCAAGTTAGGTGTTGGAGTCCCAAGCAAAGCTGAAAAACTAGTTCCAGAAGATCTTGTTTCAAACAATCCTAGTCCCGGATAGAAACTTGTGGAAGCAGTAGTGTTAAATCCAGCCATTTGGGAATGAGTAATTGGGACAGAAGAAGTTGGAGTGTTGCATGTCTCCTTTAAGTTGATGATTTGGCATGGATCACCATATCTATCAACGCCACTTAGCCTCTCCAAAAACTGAGTTTTATTCTCGTCACTTCGTAATTTCATAAACCCGTCGCGGATATCTTCGTCTTTCACCAACAATCCATTTGCAGCCCACCAAAATTTTCCTATCGGTTCAATTTGTAATGTTTCTAATACAGCCAAAGAATCACCAAAAGTTGCCTTCTGATGGTGTCGTGACCGTAAGACATCTAACAAATTGGTGCGAGAATCTTCCATACGTTGAAATCCACTTTGGATTTGTGTCTCAAAATTGACCCTTCTTCGATTTGGACGTTTAGTGGATGTATTTCGGACCCGCATACTCGATCTATTCACACGAGGTGAAGAACGTTGTACTTGTTCTCTGGTGGGAAATTCATCATCTGAAGCTCTGATATTACTTGGGTCAAAAGATATTTCTTCTGGTGTTTCGCAAACTGCTATTTCTTCATCACTAGCTTCCTCTTCTTGCATTTGTTGGATACGTTCCCGACGCATGAATGGTGAATAACGATCATCTTGATCCAAATCATGTTGACCATAAATTTCTTCGAGTAGCTCTTTAAAAGGAAGAGGTTTGCTTTGCAACACTTTTACAAATTTTCCATTGCTTCCAAACTCCTGCAACATAAAAAGAATTTATTAGCAAACTATACATAAATAATTTAATAGAATATGATTAATTTTGTAAAACTCACCGCAATTCGATCATCCCACCATGGCTTAAGCATCTCTATATTTCTCATCTCCGGTTCGAAAAGAATTTTATCTCCCGTCATTTCATAGTATTTTTCTTCTATTCGTCGTTTACCCGGATTGTCAGGCAATCTTAGCGTGTAACCCGTTGCTTTTAACTCAATGTTCACAAGATTGAGCAAAATTTCGGTTTTTGTTGGAGTCCAATAGT